CTCTGGGGCTCCTGTTGCTGTCTTGCCCATTTGTATTAAATGTTCTTTGGAGTGGAGCTCTGCAGAATTTGCCTGCTAGCCTGTCTGTCTTCTACCACCAAAGCCACTTTGCCATATCTCTCTTTCATTGCAGAACCACCTCACCCTCACTTCAGAGTAGCTTTGCCATATTATTCTAGTGACTGATGGAATTTCCTAACCTCTGGGGCTCCTGTTGCTGTCTTGCCCATTTGTATTAAATGTTCTTTGGAGTGGAGCTCTGCAGAATTTGCCTGCTAGCCTGTCTGTCTTCTACCACCAAAGCCACTTTGCCATATCTCTCTTTCATTGCAGAACCACCTCACCCTCACTTCAGAGTAGCTTTGCCATATTATTCTAGTGACTGATGGAATTTCCTAACTCACAGGGGGTATGTCTACACTACAAAGTTAATTCGAACTAACAGACGTTAGTTCGAATTAACTTTGATAGGCGCTACACTAGCGCTCTGCTAGTTCGAACTTAATTTGAACTAGCGGAGTGCTTAGTTCGAACTAGGTAAACCTCATTTCACGAGGACTAACACCTAGTTCGAACTTACTAGTTCGAACTAAGGGCTGTGTAGCCCTTTAGTTCGAACTAGTGGGAGGCTAGCCCTTCCCAGGTTCCCCCTGGTGGCCTCTCTGGGCACAACCAGGAAAACTCCTCTCCCCCAGCCCCGGACCCTTAAAGGGGTAGACTCTGGCCAGACGGCACTTTGCAGAAACAGCCCTGCCAGCAGTCTCTGCCCCTGACCCAGTGGCCGCAGGATGAGCCAGGCAGCCAGTGGCAGTGACGTGTCCCCCGCCCAGTCCCCCAGCACCCAGGAGCCAGCCAGGGGACGTAGACGGCGCGCGGCCTCCTGGACTAGTGCGGAGGTCATGGACCTCATTGAGGTTTGGGGGCAGGCCCCCAATCTCCATGATCTCTGCACTAGTCCAGAGGAGGAACGCGGCTGTCTACGGCCGCATAGCAGACGCCATGGCCCGAAAGGGACACAGGTGCACCCAGGAGCAGGTGCGCCTGAAAGTCAAGCAGCCTGCACTAGTCCAGAGGAGGAACGCGGCTGTCTACGGCCGCATAGCAGACGCCATGGCCCGAAAGGGACACAGGTGCACCCAGGAGCAGGTGCGCCTGAAAGTCAAGCAGTTGCGTCAGGCGTACGCCAGGGCCACCAGGGGTGGCGCCGCAGCAGGGGCTGCCACCTGCCCCTACTTCCCTGCCCTCCGGGGTGGGGGGAGGTGGGAGGGAGACCAGAGACCACGCGTGTGGGCCATGCCTTCCACGCATCACGCAAACACCTGTGCACGTGCGAGCACGTGTCATGCCACCCTTGGGCAGGTGGCTCCAGCTGCGTGACACCCAGGGTACGTCTAAACTACATGCCTCCGTCGACGGAGGCATGTAGATTAGCCAGATCGGCAGAGGGAAATGAAGCCGCGATTAAAATAATCGC